CGCTCCAAAACACAAACAACCACAAAAAGTCATTAAAACAGCTGGCATTTATATAAGTAGTTTTGATGTTTATAGATTATACACATTATCTGAACGGAGACTCACAGTTCTATAAAGCAGATAGCATGAGCAAAATCCACATCACTTTACAGATTAGGAAACTGAACCTCGGAGAGCTGAAACATCCTGCCCAAGATCACTCAACAGACTGGAAGGATTACAGGCAAGATTGGAACCAGCCTCCTTTGGATTCCAACGTGGCTTCCTGTACAATAAACTGAACCCGCCCAGCTTGCCAAATAAACTATTTTAGAACCCATCAACCTCCGGTGCAGGTAACCCGTTCCACTGGGGCTGCAAAGCATTTGACTGCTGCCCCAAGCACTGATGGACTCATTGCATTAATATCAAGGCCTTGGACTTTGTTTTTGTTGTTACTCAGGCCACCTCAATTCCAACGGCAGACCAGAAAATCAATGGCAGCTACAGCTAGAGTACAAATCTCATTCAAGGGAGGGAATGAGGTGAACTCCTATTCCATGGCTGTCATAAAGGTTTCCCAGCAGAAAAGCATTCCATCGGACAGCAGTCACCTTCTGAAAAATGAGCTGAAGCACAGAGAGTCCTCCGCAGGCCACAGAATGACCGCTCGCGTTGGTGCCATGAGCAGTCCCTTGGTCAAGACTCCCCTGGGCTCTTCCATGACCCATAAAAAAAACTCGAGCTTGCACATGCCACTCTCAGTCTACGTGCTCATCAAAGACATACAGTCAGTTCTTTTCACTCCACACCCTAGGTAAGAATTATTTTATCAACTCATATCTTTCAACTCAAAATGGATTCTTGTTATGACCTCAAATGATGCAAAGAATTCAGAATTGTTAAATGGTTATTTATACTGTTAATTTAGCCAGGAAATGCCAGAGGTTTACGCCACCCCTAAAAACAAGAAGAAAAAAAATGGCACAGGAGGAAGAGTGACCTTCCTGCCATTGGGTGGGTTATTATTTGTTTCTTTTTCATTAATGCTCCCAAAATTTATGCTACTTGGAAAGCTCCTAAAGAGAGAGGTCTGATCGAAGCCACCTAAAGGGTACCTGACAAAGGGAGCTTAAACATATGTGTATATGCATGTGTGTAAGTATATATGTATTTATATACCTAGAGAGAGATATATAGAAAGAGAGAAAGAGAAAGACAGAAAAACAGACCAATTGATTTTCCCCCACCCAGGGAATAAGGCATCCATGACGCCAGAGAAGCATGTGGCCTACGCCAGTAGGAACAGGACCAGGGTTTGAATTCTAAGCCCATGGGCTCTTTGGATAGCCATAGTCCTTAACTCTTCTTCAAATATTTACAAACTAACAAAGGGAACCATTGGGCAAATATTTCTTAAGCATCTATTATGACCAGGCGCTGTGCTAGGTCCCGGAGACAAACAGGCAGAGAAGGAAACAAATAAATCTATGATTTGAGCCTAAAAAGAAATGAGGAAAAACAGGCATTTCTGTTTCATTAGATTTTTGCGAGACTGTATAGACAAGTTTTGTAGCCTTGGACAGAGAGACCGAGATTGGTTGGAAGGGCTAGGAAGGTCTGTGAGCAGGGAAAAGACAACAAGGTCAAGAGCAGAGGGTCCCCATCTATTAGGAACCAGGCCCAAGTTCCATCCTTCTCTCTGAGGATTCCCAGTCTCTACATCCAAAAACAGACCATGGGCACTTTTCTTTCAAACACCAAAGTTCTATTTTGAGAAGGGATATTTTGTGCATCCACTTCTTGCAGACACATATATAATTCAATTGTAATACCTCAAGGATTCGTGGTTTTCTTGGCAGTACACACCCTCTACTCCCCCCATAATGCAGGAGATCTTGAAGATGGGTCCCTGGCACACATAGTAGGAAGGCCTGTTAGGGGAGGACATAACACGGACAAGACTCAATTCACACAGGAGGGGCAGCCATGGAGAAGCTGCAATCTGCATTGCTGACAGGAATAGTTATATTAAGGAGATCGCAATCCCACTGCAGCATTGAAAGGGTTAAGCTTCCTTCCACCAGCAAAAAAACGGCAACCCCTTAGGAGATCCATCCATTCACAAGCATTTATTAAGTACCTACTATGTGCCAGGCATTGAACTCGACAAAGACAGAAACAAAACAGTCCCTAACCTGGAGGAGCTTGCATTTCATCAATGAAACAGCTACTAACCGCCAAGCACTATGTTAGGGGCTGGGGATTCAGATATAAAAGAAAGAGTCCTTGCCCTCAAGAAGATTACATTCCTCTAAATGGCAAAATACTCTACTCTGCTAAATGGCAGTCCTGAGCTGCTATGATGGAAAGGTCCATCCCCCCGGGATCAAGCTGGTGACGAGGCTCCCCCAGCAGAGCTCACTCAGACAAACATCACCGGCCTTGTCCTCCAAGTCGTCCAGCAGGGTGGGACTGGCCAGAGGCATGCAGGGTCACCTCCAGGCTGACTGTTTGTCTTATGAAATTAATTCATGAAAAACTAAACCTAGTGAGGGCCCCTGGACTGGAAACAGGACACGGGCGTTACCCCTTCATTCTTCCACCTGCCTCCAACTGCTTTCCTCGAGGTGAAAGTCTCAAGTGTCATAACCTGGTAGTTCTCCATCAGGGGTTCCACAGACAAAACTTTCTCCAGCCTGTTATCACCAAGGCGACATGTGCGTGAAGGCCAGGGAGGCTCTGCCCTCAAGCCACTTCCCCATCCAGGCCCCTCCTTCATCTTAGATGCTGTGGCATTCACGTGGCTGCTCACTCCGTTCATCCAGACTTCAGAGGACTTTATACCTCTGGATGAGGGGTATGGGGCAGTTATCTGTGCCTTTCTCCCTCATCTCCCCCACCAGACTAGAGGCTACTTGAGAGAAGGAATGGTATCTGGTTCTATCTGTGTCTCTCCCTCATGGGAGAAAATCCTGTTTGATAAATGGTCTTTGAGAGGCTGGGCCATCCTCGAGCTGATGAGTGAGGCTTGGTCTTGGCTATGGCACCCATCCTAGGAGCCCATCCATGGAGCCTTTCCAGCCTATTACCAGGGCTTACCCTCAGCTGGCCTAGACTTCAAGAACTTAGTTCTATCTCCATGTCACCACAAGGTCCTGGGGAAGGATCCTGGTGCCTTGCACATAAGAGGTATTGAAGACAATGCTGGTTGAATTGGTTGGCTCAAGCTATCAATAAACATTTATTTATACCAACTGTGTGCCAGGCACTGTGCTAGGCTGAGAAGATTCAAAGACAGAAATGAAATAGGGTATGTCCTCAAGGAAATGACATTATATCAAAAAAGACAACATGGTGGTACAATGGAGAAAGTGGGAGAAATAACACCCACATTCAACACTCCGCTACAGCTACGATCTTATGGATCTTATTGGAAGTTCTCTCAGGTGGGATGCAGATCAGAGCTCACCCACACCTACCCATCCTGGGCTACTCTTGTCCACATCTTCCCATGACTTCACCAAAGCAGGTTCTCCCAACATGATAAAGGCCTTTGTCACCTCCTCCTGACATCAACAAAGCACACATCCACCTATTGTCCCTCTCCCTCAACACATGAGCAGTCCTTCCTCTCCTATCAATTTCCTCAGGCACGGGATTTCAACCATTTTTGGCATCATGGGGCCTTTGGGCTCTCCTGATAAAGAAAATGGACCCCTTCTCAGAATCATGGTTTTAAATGAATAAAATAAAATACAGTGGATTACAAAGGATAGAAACTAAGTATATTGAAAAATACTTAGCCTCCCAAAACCCAACAAATTCCCAAACCGTCATCCCCCCCACCCAGTAAAGAACTGCTGTGTGGAGTTCTCCCTGCCCTCCCACAATGATCTTTCTCCATGGTTCCTCATTGGTCACTTGTGCATGTGCTCAAGCTCCCCATGCATCTCTCCCAAGACCCCTGCATAATATTCACTTTTAATTCTTTGGAAATATTGCATTCTGCATCTCACAGCCACACTGCAATGCCATGAGAATGCTAGTGTTCATAAGATGGGCCTTCATTTCAAGGAGAAACCTGGGGTCACTGAAGGCCATCCGTTCCACTCTCCTATTCAGCTATAGGTCCAGCCAACTGTCCTTCAGCATGGTCTGATCTGTACACAATACTAATGGGCAGATGCGATAGGATTTCCCAACAAATGCTGGCCATAACCCGGGCACAGACATGGTACTAGCCAAATATACACCTGATGATTTGGGACTAATCAGATGAGACTCGTGGTACTGTAGCTGAGCTTAGAAGGCACAGGAAGGGCTTAAGGACCCTGGGTCAGTTTCTATTCTACTCGTCACTACCTGCCTCACCTTGCACAGACTTCTCCTCTCTGAGTCTTGCTTCCTCAAGTGTAAAACGAGGGAGTAGGGCCAGATGACCTCCCTCAGAGCTCTAAATTCTGTGCCGCTACGAGAGCACCTATTAATAAAGCTGCTTCCTTGCATTGAGTTCTCTTTCCCAACTTTTCGTCTAGATTTATGTCCTAATGGAATCCGGCTGTGTGGGCAGCGTGCTAGCTCAGGCCACGTCTAAATGGTGCCAAACAGCTGGTCAAGTCAGTCTTGGGGAGTTGGGATTACTGTGACTGTTTGTCTTAATTAATCAGTTGTTTGACTGAAGTGACCTTTCTAGTAAGAGCCAGTCATTTGACAGCCTGGTTTGGACATCTCCTCAAATCCAGCAATAGCACAAATTGCTAAAATCACCAAGAATTAAAAATACAAAAAGATAATGGAGCAGCTGGGTTAGGGAAGGAGGGAGCATTTTTTTTTGGTGGGGGTCCTTTTCATTACTTGGAATGTACTGTCTCCCCAGTTAATTGTCTGACACACCTGTGTGTGTCAGACCCTGCTCTCCCACCCCCAAAGGCCTGCATTTGCAAACCAGGGACTCCAAGGAAACCAGACTCCGTATGATTGAGGTAGGAGGGCGCCATGGAAACACCTCCATCACCTACCGAAACAACAGCAACGGGATAGAAAAGGGAAGGGGTTCTGCTCTCAAGCCCATCCAACAGCTTCGTGATCTGGTGAAAATCAGCGCTCGTCGTCTAAGGAACGAAAAAAAGCAAAGCCCTGGAATGACGCAAGGAAGTTAACTGTGGAGTTTAATCAAAGGTAGGAATATTTAAGGTGACCACTTTGAAATTGTGTCTGGAGTTATTAGCTGAGCTGTATTTGAGAATCAGGAATAGGAAAACATAACATGCCTTTGTTACCCAACCACATGAGCCCATGGATTTCTGGACACTCAGACACGACTAAAACCAGTTTCCAAAGAAATTCAACTCACCTCTGAAACTGGAAAGATCTAGGGGAATGTACTACTTTCCCTAGAGGATTTATGCTACAGTTTGTGTTCACCCATCCTTTTTCAGTTTATGTGTATGCATATGCATATATACTACAGATGTATAACATATACATCTATATATCCACACAGACACATAGAAAAACAGAATGGGAGAGACAGACAGATAGATGGATGGATGGATAGATGGAAGGACAGATGGACGGACAGAGAGAGAGAGAGAAATAGATAGATGGATAGATGGACAGAGGGATGGATGGATAGGTAGGCAGGCAGACAGATATATGGACGGACGGATGGATATCTCCCATTCTATTTTTCCAGATAGGCATGTGTTTTGAATCAATTGCACTCAATACTTACATTTATACAAACAAAATTATAGCACTCTCCCAGGAAGATTTTCTGAAGATCTTGGCCATTTGGACACAGAGTTACAGATGTGCCTTTAACCTGTTCAAGGAAAACAAGGATTTTAAGAGCCAGACATACAGGCATGTGCATAGAGGCCAATGAAATGCACAGCTCGTTGGCTACCTGGCTTTCAGAGTTGACCTACACACCAACAGCCAGCGACTGTGCCATGACCTTGGAGTTGTGCTCTGAAATCCCCTAGAAAGCACCCCAGCACAGGCTTCTGACCCTAGGGGATTCGGGCTGGCCCTGAATTCCAAACTTTCCCAATTCTTCCTCTCCTTCTCACGGGAACAACTCTGAGTGATGCCTCCCTGAGGAGCAAAAGCAGCTTGGGAACTTACGGGCTCCATGTGGCATCCATGAAAGCTGGGGGGGCGGGTGCAAGAAGGGGCAAAGGCCAAGGGAGAGTGTTAGGCTTTGCTCTGGCAACTAGTCTGCTCATTTATGCTAAGGGACTTAGGTTTGGTTCAGGATTCTTTGTGCGTGTCTAAGCCAACAGGAAAAGCACAAACCTTTCTCACACACAAAAAGGAATCCAAGGACTGTGGAGATGAATTCTTAGCCCAGGATGATTTAGCAACTGGTGGACTGGGGTTTGGGGGGGAGGGGGGGAACTGTCAAATGATGTCTCAATCAATCAGCAGGCATTTTATTAAGCACCTACTATGTGCCAGGCACAGCAGATACAAAGATACAGTAGCTGCCCTCACAGAGCTCACCTTCTACAGAGGGAAAGGGGACAATAACTACGTCCATACGACATGAGGCTTGACCTCCATCATTTATGGAGGACTTCGCTGGCTGCTGATGTTTCCCCATGCAGCATCATCCTCCTGCTGAGTACGAGCCTATAAAGGAGGGAAGCAAAAGGCAGACCCAGCTACCATTCCAGTATTTTGGGGTACAAAGCAGTATCCTATGGCATTAGCAATTGAAAGAGAAATGTCGTTTCTCAAATTCCACTGCAAAGCAAGTCCTCCATCTTGTTCTGCTGGGTAGAATATAAAGTCCTTGTGCTCCCAATGCCTCGTCCAGGGCCTGACACACAGGAGGTGCTGAATGAATGTTGTTGATTAACTGATGAAGGCGATTCTGGGATTTCAAAGACATTAACGTCTGGCAAATTCAGCCAAGCCAGAAAAGATTGCAGCACCAGCCTGGTGATGGGCTGTACGTCTTTCCGAATTGCTGTGGTAGAGTGGAAAGAGCCTTGGCTTTGCAGTCCAAGGACCAGAGTTCAAATTCTGCCTCTGACATTTTAGTTTGTGGGTCCTTGGACAAATCATTCCCCAGGCCTCAGTTTTCTCATTTGTATAATAAAGGACTAGATCACCTCTGAGAATCTTCCTAGCTCTACCCTCTATCATCCTACACCCAAACTCAGCAAGTCCAGGGAGGCTTATGAACAGATGGGCCACAGGGGATGGATTTGTAGGACATGGAAATCCTCTAAGACCAGCTCATTGAGGATCTGAGGTCTGTTTGCATCAGTAAGGGGTGAAGGTCAGGGGACAAAGCATGTGAAATCACAGATCCTTGAAATAACCCAATAAATAAGTTGAAGAGACACCCAGAAAGTTCATTTTTCTATGGGTACTGAAAGTTACAATAAATATATAAAGAATTAAGTCAAATTTATAAGAATACAAGTCATTCCACAATTGGTAAATAGTCAAAGGATATGAACAGGCAGTTCTCAGATGAAGAAATTAAAGCTATCTATAGTCATACGAAAAAATGCTCTAAATCATTATTGATTAGAGAAATGCAAATCAAAACAACTCTGAGGTACCACATCACACCTATCAGATCGGCCAAGATGACAACACAAGAAAATGATAAATGTTGGAGAAGATGTGGGAAAATTGGAACACTAATGCATTGTCGGTGGAGTTGTGAAACGATTCAACTGTTTTGGAGGGAAATTTGGAACTATGCCCAAAGGGCTCTAAAAATGTGCATACCCTCTGACCCAGCAATAGCACTTCTAGGTCTGTATCCCAAAGAGTTCATACAAACGGGAAAAGGACCCACATGTACAAAAATATTTATAGCAGCTCTTTTTGTGGTGGCAAAGAATTGGAAATTGAGGGGATGCCCATCAACTGGGGAATGGCTGAGCAAGTTGTGGCATATGAATGTGATGGAATACTATTGTGCTATAAGAAATGATGAACAGGCTGACTTCAGAAAAACTTGGAAAGATTTGTATGGTCTGTCGCTGAGTGAAGTGAGCAGAACCAAGAGAACGTTGTACACAACAACAGCCATGTTGTGTGATGACTAATATTGATAAACTTAACCCTTCCCAGCAAAACAAAAATCTAAGACATCTCCAAAGGCCTCATGATGGAAAATGCCAGCCACATCCAAAGAAAGAACGATGAAGTTGAATTACTATTTTTTTTCTTTTCTGTTGAGCTTTGTTTCCTCTTTCTGGTGGTTCTTCCTATTGGTTCTAATTCTTCCTTACAACATCACTAATGTGAAAACATGTTTAATAGGAATGTATATGTATAGTCTACATCAGATTGTGTGCCATCTTGGGGAGGGTGGCGGGAAGAGAGGGACAGAAAAATTTTAAACTCAAAAGCATATGGAAGTGATTGTTGATAAATCAAAATAAATTAATGAAAAAAGAAAATCGCAATAAAAGACCAGCCTTTGAAAGTTGACATCTTCCCCCTTCAACCACCCTCCCCCTATTCTACTTGTCCCTTTTAGCCAAGCTCCCAGAGGGTTTCTAGGGGGAGCCATTCATGAGGAAGGGGTAAGCAGTATCACAAAAGGGAATTTGGGGGGGGAACTGACTGGCTGAGGTCGTAAGAGACGTTCAAATTGGCACACAGAGTTGGCGGACGCTTACACCCTGTCCCCACCTCCCCACCTTTCTCCTCCTCCCGCTCTTCCATGGGATCGGCAGCAAAGATGGGAAAGTCTGAGGAAACATTCCCCCAGGTGTCCCCCCAACCCACACACATCCCCAGAATTCCTCACACAGCAGCACCTTCCATGGCAGGGCCCAGCAGCCCCACCCTCCCCCTCAAGGGTATGAGGCAATGACGATGGAGCCTGCCAATTTCTTGCACCCTAGCACACAATGGGGATCCAGCTGCTGAAAGAAAGCCTTGGTCCTAAGGGCTGACTGCACTGCTTAATCCCTCGGAAGAGAAGGCAGGTTCCTTTTCCTCACTGCACACTTTCTCCTCAATGCCCTCCATCAGGTTTTCATCCCAACTGCTCCTCTCCAAGCTTTCCGCCCACAGTTCCCAAGGGCCAACCCCAGTGGCCTCCAACAGTCCACATCTTGCTTGACTTTTTCTGCCTCTGACGTGGCTGGTCATGCAGGGCCCCTCCTGGACAGTTCTCCTAGTTTTCCTCCTCTCTCAGACAGCCCTGTTACCATTCCTTTCACCGACTCAGGCTTCCTTCTCTAGTCTCTAAAACGGGCTCCATCCTCAGCTTTCCCTTCCCTCTCGATTCTTTCCCTCAGTGTCCTCAGCCACTCTCACAGCTCCAATGATCCCCTTTTGGTTCCAACATGTGTTGCTGAGCCCCAGTCCTGCCTTCTCACCTGCTTGCTGACTGTCCCCACCTGGATGGCTTCCCCCAGGAATTCACAGTCAACCTGTTCAAAACAGAATCATCCTTCCAACTTCTCACCTTCTGTCTGTGGCCGACAACCTTGACTCAAAGCCCAAGGGTCTTTTTTCAATTGCTTCTCCATCCTCACGCCACCTTACCCCACCATCTCCAATTAACTGAGAATGGGGTTGGCATGATACAACATAAAGAATCCTACCTGTGAAGTCAAATCACTTGGAATCAGATCCCACCTGGAATGTTTACAACCTGTATGACCTTGGGAAAGTCACTCACCTCTCTGGGCCTCAGTTTCCTCATCTGTAAAAGGAGGGAGTTGGAGCCTCCAAGGTCCCCTCCAGCTTTACAGCTGGGATCCTAATATTTTTATTCTGTCTCCACAGTATCTCCCACATCTATCCCAGCCCCTGCACTCACACCGCCCTCCCCCAGAAGGGCCCCCCAAGCTACAGTTGCTCTTTTCTTCTGTGTTCATTGCTTGTCTTTTGAGGTTTAGTATGAATGCAGCTAAACCCAAATTATTTACCATATGCTGTCTCCCACCAACCAGAACGTGAACTCTCTTCTCCACGCTTGAGAAAAAAGCTTCACAATTTGCTTAAATGAGTCGATGTCTTTTTTGACAAGGTAAATAAGCAAAGTGCAAATCAGAAAGATGGCAAGTGTTCCCTGGGTTATGCTGGAGTGTGGAAATTCCTCGTTTCCATGAGGAATGGCAGTCTACGACAAGCACACCGTCGTCCCTCAGAACAATCCTTGATCAGAACATCTCGTTCTCTGAATAAACTGGTACAAGAGAGAGCGCTTAAACAAAATTTACAATGAACTTCCTGCATTTCTGGGAAAAGTAAAGGAACGCACAGAATTGCCTCACACATATAACCAATCAGCAGGAGAAGTGTCATGAAGCACGCCAATCTGTATCTTCAAAACGCTCTCTCGGGACGGGCTGTCCTTCTAGCGGTCCGAGTTCTCACCCGTGGAGTCCCTGCAAGCCTTCACCCTCGCTTATCCCACACGTCCAACCGTTCGTCAGGATGAGTCAATCCTACTTCCACGTCTCCCCCAACCATCCCTTGTCCAAGCTCTTGACCCCTTTCACCCGTACTTCAGGAATGTCCTACCTGGTTTTCCTTCCTCCAATCCAGCCCCCACATAACCAGCAAAGTGATGGCCCCAAAGCACCGGCCTACCCACCCATGCCACTTTCCAAGCTGCAGCTGCTTCCTACTGACCACATCTAGAACAAAATGCAGGTTCTCCTTTGGTCTCTCAAGGCCCTACTGCTGGCTCCAGCTTCTCCACAGGGTGTGCAGGGGACAGGCAGGTCACCCAAGACGTATGCCAACTGTCCTAACCAAAGCAAGGGCAACACTTTCCTAAAACTGAGAAGAACTGTAATCTGTTCCCTGCCAGGTTCTTGCTCAGATGAT